CAGAGTATGTGCCCATCCAAGTCATGGGCAGTCAGCTTAATAGATCCCTTTGTTCCATGAAGTCCACATTTGACTGTTTGGGGTTTATGCTCACTTGGTGCACTTGAGCCCTATGTTAGAACCTCTGAGAGAAAGCACCTCGGAGTCCTCCCATCAGGACAAGAGTACTACTGCAGATACAGTTCCTAATTCATCACATGAGGGCAAGATACAGCAACACTTTGGACTGTTTCTTGCCAGTACACGGCATATCCCATTGGAAAATATACCTACAGGGAAACGTAACGGCAGCTGCCGTGTGCTCAGCAGCAATCCAGGCACCAACAAACACGTGGCTGTGCAGATAAAGAGTGTAGGAGATGTGGTCCTCCTAGTTTCTGCTACAGGAATGTGATCCACAGTAATCAGAAATAACAGGCAGCCCCATTTAGTGAGTTAGTCATTGCACAGACACTAAACAGAGGCTGTCCCTGCCCTCTGTCACCAGTGACAAGCCAATGCCATGTGGCACTGCCATGGGGAGCCCCTCAGACCAGCTCCGGTCCTACCTGGGAACTGGCTGCACTGCAGCACCCAAACACAGTGTCTCAGTGCTGAAGCCAGCTCAGGAGCCTTCATGTAAAACCGTGTTGGGCAGGGCCCTTCTGAAAACCAGTCCCCACTGGGAAATGTAACATTCTGGGAAATGCCCCAGGGGGGAGAGAGTACACTGGCGCAGCCCTGAAAAACACAATGCAAGTATAATGACTGGTCGACCAGTTTCTGAGCAGTATGCAATGCCAAGTAGACGTAAAACAACAACCCAAGTCCTACAGCTGACTTGCTTCCTCAAGTTTCATTAGCTTGAAAAATACCTTCCTCAGCATTGCCATTTACTCATGATGACTACCAACACAGAAACGCCCTGTGTGTCCTCCCAGAGCCACCCTCTGTCCCTGGGGTGTCAGCTGCAAGCAGAAGCAAGGACAAACAAGCTCCCCTCTAGGCCAAAGGAAGAGGAGGAAATCAGGAAACAGCAAGAACAATGACTGGTAAGAGACAAACAAGGGGTGAATGAGGAGCATAAGCCAGTGAACAGGTACGAGCCCTCCTGAATATCAAACACACGCGAGCACTGCCCACGGGCTACACTTTGGAGAATGGGAACCTCCGTACTGACTGCAAGAGCTGTGATTAGCTCTTCTCCCTGCTACAGTGCGGGGAAGCCTCACTCCAGGCAAGGGCAGGGAGGAGGCAGTCGTCTGGAGGTGGGAAATGGCCAGACCTCGCTAGGACTACAGGCGATGAATCACTGGAAAGGAAAACAAGGGCACAGCCTAGCAGGACTGGTTTCCAGAGGCACCAATAGCCACTCACCCTGCAAAAGCCAGTCAATTATATTTTAATTCTGGAAATGCATTGCAGGTCACACGCTCCTTTGATAGCACAAGAGCTGTGTTAAATAAATTGTGTCAGTCATTGCAGCAACGGCTGCGGTGAGTCAGCCAGCCCAGCCTCGGTTCCCCTTCACTCCAGTTCTTTGCTCTTCTGTAGAACATTGAAGAAAACTTGTTCCACTGCCAACATTTGGGGGTTGAAAATACGCTGCCGTAAATCTGCACCGATACTGCATCCACTTTAATTTCTTTTCCTGATTTTTTTTTCCCCACAGGCATCTCAGCTGTCACCCCACTCCACAAACCCTGGAGCTACGGCACAGAGCCCTGCGCTCACAGGCAGACAGGCGTTCAGCAGAGCTGGTCTGGGTGTTCCAGCTGGGCAACCTGACACCTCAGAGATTTCAAACAACACTACAATGAAGAGCCAGAGAGACGTGGGGAGTCACAGCATGAATTGTGGGTGCTTGAGGTTCAAGAAGAGAAAAAGGGCTGTGGTATCCCCACTGGTTTTCAATTCCCTTTGAGGAAATCACTACAGCTACACCAACATCAACTGGGGTTAAGAGAAGGGATAACCAGGCTCTTTAAAAGGCCTTACTGATTTCCAGGGCCAGTATTTTCCCACTTAATGCTCTTTGCTGTGTAAAATAAACATTCTGCAGAGGTGGTTTGTGAGTTTGGCCATTATTTTGTTAACATATGTGCACAGTGCTAGTTATTGTTACTAACTAATCAACAATCTTTATTCTTATTTTAAAAGAGGTAATAGTTGCAGCCTGCATTAAAAATACCCTTCCCACTGTGAAAAACAAACAAAATACCAGAGATAGTAAAGGAAATGCCTGAGACTACACCCTTTCTAGAACCACGCACCAGTTTCCCTGATCATAGTAACTCTTTTGAACCCTCACACAATCCAGGGATCTGCATGACGCTTCCAGTTCCCCTTCACAGAACACATGGTAATAGCGGTGGAAAACAGGGCTGAGTTCTCGTGATTCCTTGGAGCCAGCTGGAAGCAACACTGTATCAACACTTTCCCCTTTCCTTTTAGTGCCACCTTTCAGATGCCAGGGAACCAGCAAATCCTGAGAGTGAAAGGAGGTTCTGTTAGTGTGAACAGGCAGTCTGGAGTCTGCATCACGGCCTTCAGCCTTCGAGTCATTATGGGGTCGGTCAGAACATGTCGAGTCTTGGCTGGTGCTATCAGGCACTTGATCACAAAGCTGTCTTTGGGCTGTGCCAGTATTGATTTCCTCCTCTTTGACTTTACCACCATTCTTTTCCTTAAGGTATTTAGACTTCTCGTTTTTGTATTCTTGTTCCATTGCCCAGACGTAAATGAGTGCTGTTCCACCAGGCCTTAGAAGTCGAGCTAGTTCACGGATAGCAGCCAGTCTCCTCTCCTGTAAAGGAAAAGCAAAAGTTTGAAGCTGTACGTAAACAAGAAGACAGGAGAATGGAAGGGCAGCAATTCCTCCTCACTTCTCCTCCAAGCTACAATAAAAATCAGAAGAATTTTATTTACACTATTTATTTTCATTCATAACATAGTCCATCACTATGCAAAAGCCAAGACATTTTCCTAAACACAAATCTCACTGAAACACAATTTCTTCATCAAAAGGGTTGTCAAGCATTGGAACAGGCTGCCCAGGGAAGTGGTTGAGTCACCATCCCTGGAGGTGTTCAAAAGACGTGTGTGATTCAAAAGACATGTAGATGCAGCACTTAGGGACATGGTCTAATGTTGGACTTGGCAGTATTAGGTTAATGATTGGACTCGATCTTAAAGGTCTTTTCTAACTTAAATGATTCTGTGATTCTCTTTCCATTTGAAAACAGTGCTGTGCTGAGCAGGATTTCTTGGACATATCAGCCCACCTGGAAATGACAAATGCCTCTTCAAGAAGGTTGCTCAGTATCTAAAATCCCAGATTCTAATCTACCATATTTCATGATACAATACTCTAAGTTTGCAGCTGAAAGAGTCAGATTTACGGCTTAAACATAGGTCCTGTGATCACCCAAATAAAGATATGCCAGCTTTCTCCCAGACTTCTCCCTACTGTTTTATACTGGGTTTGGAAACATTCGCTGTATTTCTAGTAAGGTGAGACCAGCGTCTCCCCCCCAGGATTATGGCTCCAGGGTCTAGAAGCTTGTTGCAATCACACAGTTCCTGCCAGGAGAAGTTTACCCAGCCCAGAGACAGGGCAGAAGAGTGAATAATGTCCCTGTCATTTGCAGGTGGACATTGAAGACAGAGGGAAAAAAACCCACGGGATCTGATCCACAAATAACGTATCTGTTGACTCCCAAAGCAGAGTCCCTTTCTCCAGTGCCATTAGTCGTAAGAAAATGAAACACAAACACCTAGATCAAAGTGCCAGGAGGAGCAAAGGCACCTGACGAGCAGAGGGAGAACGCGAAGAGAAAGTCTAAGAAGCAGCAGCACAATATTTTAACTGCTCTGACTGCTGCTTACACCAAATATCAATTTTTGATTTCTCCCCATTTTGCTCTTCCCTTTTGCTTTCACGAGCTCCCACCAGCAGTTTTTTGTAGCGTTAGTAGCTCTGCACAGCCATACAACAGTCCAGTGGGGCACAGAGCGGGGTGACTTACTGCTGTTGAGAAGTGGTGGATTACAGCGATAGAGATGCAGGCGTCACAAGAGCCACTGCGCATTGGCACCGACAGCGCATCACAGACAAAAGCCTGGAAATTTTTTTCTCCACAAATATCCACCAGGTTTTTGCTGCGATCACAACCAACCTGTAAGAGAAAGTGTTTCATTAAGCTTTTCCTAAGAGGATAATTACAAGACTGGAAAATTATTTTCACTCGAGAGCAATAGAGTCATCACAGTCTCCCACTGAAGTAACGCAATTTAATTTAAAATAAAAACAAGAGTAAGAATGAGAAAATAGCCTTGAGAGGAATATGTGGTTCCCAGGTAAAGATAAAAAGAAAAAAATCCTGATGCTTACTTAAAAAAAAGATGGCAAACTGGGTATTAGACAGCTCATTATAGCAGCCTGATTTTGAACCAGCTTAAGACAGGTTTCATACTGAATACCCAACCCAAAGCTGTGCTACCAAGTCGTATCTCATAATGAGCTTACATGAGAATATTAATTTTTTTTTCAATGATCAGCAACAAGTAGATAGTAGAGAACAAATTCAGAATTCTAAATAATTACTGCTGATGGTATTTATTGCGGTTGACACAGAAAGAATACTAAATCTTCCATGATGCAAGAAGAATAGCAAATAACTTACTCTGATTGATCAACTCAGCAGAGACAAAGGTACCGAAAAAATTAAAAATCTCTTCTGCAATGAGCGCTAACAACGCTAAGGTCTCGGGTTCGATTCCCGTTCAGTCCCCATGTGTTGCCTGATCTAGTCGAGAGGTGGCGTCCCTGGCGGCAGGGAGGCTGGATTAAAATGATCTCTAAGGTCCCTTCCAGCTTAGGCCATTCTATGATTCTATCATAACTTTTCATTTTATTGGCTCAAATCACTTTAACTTTCAGTCTACCGTAACAGTTTTGAAGAAAACCAGGATTCTCTTCCAGTCATACGTCCTGAAAGCTTTAAAGTGAGCTGCTTCCTAGTCAGCTCCCTGACTTTTGGTCCAAAGTAAATGAAACAGTTGTAAAAATATCAACCTGAGAACACAAGATAATCCTCCACAAAAATAGCACTACAAATGCACACATATTGTCCTGCTAATTACCTCTGAACAGTCCCAAAAAGATCAATCCTAGCCTTGCTAGGATTTATGCCTTGGCCTCGTCTCCACGTTTACTGAAGCACTGAGGGAACAGTGTTATTTATGAATAAAAAAAGGAAATTCTTTTGTTTACTTGGAAGTAAACATAAATCCCCATCGCCTCACACTGGAAGCCAACTGGAGTGTCTTTAAATTACTCTCATCACGGGATGGATTTAGCTGACAACCTGCATGTTAGAAATTCCATGCCTCATTGCCAGCGCCTTCAAATACTTTTCCAATTAAGACATTGGTATGTAGTATTTAATAAAACTCAAAGGACCAAATTCACTGCCAGCAGAAGGAGGGAGAAGAACACTTGCAACTTCCACTAACGAGCTTTCCCTGAATGAATTGCTTTGGCCCTGTGCGTCCACAGTAAAACCAGGCTGGATAACCCAACTCAATCCTCCCCTCCCAAAATGACCTTGAAAAGGACTGTGCTGTATGTTGATGAAACCCAATGCACTGAGAATGAGAACAAAGACGTGACTGCCAGAATGTGAAGTCCTCATTTGCATCTAAATTATATCAAATAATTATGAATTCAGGCTTACTTGTATTGTCATACTTATTAAAGTGAATTTGCATCCCAAGCAAAAAGATTCGCAACGAGAATGGAGACCTTGAAATGGATCAACTGAAATGCACGGCTGCTCTAAAATAGGTATATAAGGCTATAACTTTACACAGTTTTAATTGCAAACATTGTAATGGGTGCTATGCATATATGCAGAAATGCTGAACGCAGGGAGCCACCTCAGATATGCCTTGTGCTGAAGCTAAGCAAACTTAGCATCCTTACTAGAATTATCTCTGTGTGACATTTCAAAAGAATTATAATCACCATGTTCCTGCATTTTCTAGCTTTCAAGAAACACACATTCATCAAAACCCAAAATACATGGGTTGCAGTTGCTTAGAAAACAATAAGCTAGTAAAAAGCAGCTAACTTCAGTGGTGCAATGCCAGCATACAGCTGGTAAATGAGCCTATCTATGATTTTTCTGAGTACAGAAAACATTCACAGAAAGGGGCAGAGACCCCAAATTCAATTTTTCCTAATTTTGTTACTAACTGATTTCTACATCCTGAAGCACACAGAAACTCTGATGTGATGAAGCTTTGTTTACAGAAAACAGTTCAAAGGAATGTTTTAACTTAGAACAAGTTTATTTTTCTCTCTCTAAACATGTAATCAAAACATTGGAAAAAAAAGCCAACCCAAACTCAAAACATAACTGGAATGCTTTAATTTTTGTCAGTTCATATCTCTAATTTTGATGCTCAGCACAGGATACTGTCCTTGCTGACATCTCTTCCAGAAGAGTGGAGAAAGGTAGACGAATTACTGTTAGTTCTATGTCCAAAACCAACAGAATCCAGTACGTCTTTTAGTAAGATAAATGGCACATATTTTCAAGTTTTCCTATTTCTTATTACCTGTGAGCCTTCTCAGTCATTTCTTATATCTGTTATCCCAGCTTTCCAAATCAAATTCCTTGCACAAACCCCCCAATTTCTCATATATATCTCAAACAGCATGGCTGACTATTCAGCCCAATACACCTCTCAGCAAGCTGCTCTACACCTTTTAGTATTTCCTTACCGGAGGTTGGCTTCTCAGGTTCCTCACATCTTACTCCAGGCAGCCATTCCCACAGCCCTGTAGGAGTCAGGATTCCCTTACATTTTTAACAGGGATTTCATTCACCGGTTTTCATTGTTTCTGGATTAACATGGCATGCAACTCTTGTTTTAAGCCAGGAAAGCTGTACTAGCATGGAGGCCTGTAACCCTGTAACTAGAGGCCCAGCAAACACAACACTTACAAAAGAGGCAAAAGCATTCTGGCATAGCGCATCCTCTCTTTAGGGCACGCTGGGTAACACAAACCCTTAGTCTAAAGTATCAGAAAAGACTAAGGTAAAAGACAAGGGAAAGAAGAAATAAAAGTAGCACCTGTGACTTGTCTGACTTTGCAGCAGCTCTGTGCTGCCTTCCTGGGAATGGGCTAACCCCGGCGAACATCCCATCCTGCTCCTTCCAGCTCCCAACCACCCTCATCTGCCCTGTTTCAGACAGGAGTAGCTAAACCAAGTTTTATAAAATCTTAATGAAGAGGTTTGGAATAGAACATTAGAGGGCAAAAGACAATAAATAAACTCACTTTGTAATGGAGAGAAATCCTCCTACAAGCTTTAATAAAGATAAGTAAAGACCAGTCAATGTTGCCCACCATTATATATTTTCTTTCTATGCTATCTCATTGTAACTACCTACCTGGTAAAACTAGTTCATTTAAGTATCTGGAAACCTGATTGATTCAGCACAGTAGAAACTGATGAAGAAAATACCATCTAATTCTGAAATCCAGCCACCACATGGAATTATGTGGCTCCCCAGAGAAACACCTCAGCTATAACTAATAGCATGCGCGCCTCAAGGAACCAAATTACATTCCAGTAAACACACACATACGTAGAAAAAGAGACACCGGCACAGCCACAGCAAGACAGGCAAATCTCCTTGCTCCAGTTGGTCTGAGTCAGGTCTGTCCTGGTTTGAGCTACAAAAAAATGCCAATTCTGTTCAGTGATTTTTACTGTCCAGTTTCTTCTCTTCTAAGAGGCTGCACGTTCTGAAGTCAGCAGCATGTTTCTGCAGACAGTGTGTGCTACCAGCAGTGATAACACCTGATGTTCACAGTTACTGCCTGGGACTGGGATGCAGAAAGGCTCTTGCTGATACTTATTCCTGTAGTGACCAAGGCCACTGCTGGCTCTTGTGTGCCACGCTGGGGGTGCCGGGTAGTAAGAGGGGTCACAAGGAAGTAAAAGGTTGCACCTCCAGGGGGTAATAGACAGGAGAGGTGACCAAGGAGAGTATTCCATTCCCTATACATCATATTTAGTATAAATTGAGTGATCATGAGAGTTTCTCTCCCTGTAATGGCTGGCATCCTGTCCAATCTCCTGCTTTTGATTCCGATCCTGAGTTCCCAAATCCAGCTCCCTGTATCCAGCTCCTGCCGCTGCTGAGCCTGGGGCTGCCCCAGTGCCTCCTGCTTTGCAGCACCAGTGGGGATTGATATCGGGGGGGTGGGGAGTCAGGTTCGATATCAGGCTTATATATAGTTGTATATAGTTCCTTTATTTTTATCATTTGACTATTATTTCCTTTATTGTTTCATTAAAGCTGTTCTAGTTTTTCTTCTCTAACCCATAAGTCTCTCTGCCTCATTCCCTTTTCCTTCCCATTCAGGGGGGGAATAAGGGGTTAGAGAGCGTCTGTCCGCATTTAGTGGCCGGCCCAGCCCTAACCCGCAACAAGGCCTTTAGCATTCCTTTCACGCAGTGTTTCAGTTTTCCGTGGCGTACAGTCAGCGTGTCTGCACAAACAGTGTGCTACGTCTGAAACGTGAAGTTCATTTCTCAATGACAAAGTGTCACAACCAAGTTGAACACCTCAATATTCATTCTGGCTTCAGGCTGCTGCTGCCCAGTTCCTTCTCAGCTCTCTTCCCAGATCTCCCATCATTTTAATGACTCCTATTCAACAGGAGAAAAGGGCAGGAAAGGTTCCTCTGCCTCACCCTCCAGTCACTAAGATACAGCGAACTTGTTCCATGTACACCTTTCCCAGTTAGTTTTGTCCTTCCTCTTTTTACCCACTACTACCAGGTCCTTTGGATGGGAATGTGTTCTTAATCAACAAGGACCCAGTGCAACTAAAACCAATCCACTATTACACAACCAAACCACAGAAAATATTCACCCTTCCTACACTCTGGCAAAATCAAATATTTGTATAGTTCTAGGGGATCCCAGTTTGGGACAGTAACACAGAAAAGAGATGCACATATCTTGCAGTAAAGGGGTATTGTACAAAATTAATAGAAATAGGAACGTCTATATTAAAGTAAAACATTTGGGCTCCTGCACTGCCATGATTTTTTTTCCTAGTATCAATATTGTGGTGAGGAGAGCAATTTATTTATAGATAAAGAAAAAATATCTACCCAATAACATTTTCAGTTTATTGTAACTGGATTTCCCACCAGTTTATCAGTTCAATTAAAAATGTGAACCACAAAACTGAAAGGCTTCAGAGTCTTTCACTCACAACTTAGCCCTGGGAGAATGCTGAACATTCTCGTGAGGATTTACAGATCGCCACACCTCCCTGAGCACTGGAACCTGGGAGACAGAGCTAAAGCTCATAAAAATTGATGAGATACATTGCAATGATGTCAACTGGCTCTGGAATGCTATGTTTCAGCCTTACCTGTTAAGGCTGAAATGTAGCATTCTGTAAAAATAAAAGCTCTGCTTCCAAATAAGAATATTAAGCTTGCGAGTATTTAAATACAAACTGTTAAAGTAATTCCTCCAAATGAGGTTGGGTGTGGAGGGGACTGTGTAAAAAAAACCCTAAAACCATTTCTTTTACATTCATTCAAATAATAATAATAAAGCTGGGTGAGACAGAGAAAATAATCTGAAACTTTTATTAAATTCAATCTTTCTCCAGTCTTTGTCCTAACTACATCAGACTTGGATTCCATCTCTCACGCAAACATTCTTAATCTGAATTTATTTGTCATGCAATTGCTGTTCTTCCTCTGTGTCAGAATAATGCAGCCATTACAGCCCTGTCGTATTTGTTGAGCGCAGCTGGACTCAGGCGCATTTCATTGTCACACGACAATACTCAAGCAGATAAGGCTGCATGTAATCATCCAAAAAAAATGAAGCAAATACAATAGCACAGGCCACAGTGGAGACATTTTCAGACAGTGCCTGAACATTAAAACCATCAAGGGAGTTACCTTAACTTTGATCTACCATTAGTGCTGCTACCTAAAGTATCATCTCTAAAACTGTAGAGCAACCTTCAGAGCACATCGCCTGCCTTCAGAAAGTGCGTGCCTTGGGTTTTCAGTATTTCTGAGTCAAAACACTCCAAGCTACACAGCTGTACCCAAGCCCTAAATAAGGCCCAATTTCACAGCACTGCTTTATTGCTTCTTTCCCGATGGGACCTTTGCCAGTCGCATTCTGCGCTGCATCAAGAGAAGCGTAGCCAGCAGGTGGAGGCATTCTTCCCCCTGCTCTTCTAAGTGCCCCCCTGCAGTGCTGTGTTCAGACCTGTCCAACGTAAGAAGGACACGACTTGTTGGAGCAAGTCCAAGAGGGCCACAAAGACGATCAGAGGGCTGGAGCCCCTGCCCTATGAGGACAGGCTGAGAGAGTTGGGGTTGAGTTGAGAGAAGAGAAGGCTCCAGGGAGACCTTATAGTGGCCTTCCAGTACTTAAAGGGGGCCCTACAAGGAAGCTCAAGAGGGACTTTTTACAAGGGCGTGTAGCGAAAGGACAAAGGGTAAGGGCTTTAAGTTGAAAGAGGACAGATTTAGATTAGATCGAGGAAATTCTTCTGTGAGCGTGGTGAGACACTGGAACAGGTTGCCCAGGGAAGCTGTGGAAGTGTTCAAGGCTTTGAGCAACCTGGTCTAGTGGGAGGTGTCTCTGCCCATGGCAGAGGGGGTGGAACTGGATGATCTCTAAGGTCCCTTCCAACCCAAACCATTCTATGATTCTATGACCTAAGCCAAGAGCTCCAGTTTACCGCACACAAAATATCACCAAGAGACACAGAAATTGCTTTGAAGGAAAGGCTGCAGCAATCGATTAAGTTTCTGCCTGCATTTTATGCCCCAAGTCAAGAGGAGTGTATGAGGGAGGAATTTGATGCCCTGCATCGAGGGAGCACTGCCCTTACCCCAGCAACGCTCCTGATAAACGAAGCAAATCCTATTAACTCCTCACCCTCAGCTCCATGCTCAGTCTGGAGAAATAGCCCTATATAATCAGACCTTTCAATTGAGCCCTAATAAGAACCCAAAAAGACAATAAAAAGTTAAAAAAGACTGCTCCTTTCTCTCTTGAACTGTCTGACTCATCCAACACAGTCACCACACCAAAGAGACTGGCTACCAGTGATAATATCGATACGTCACTGACATTTACTCCACAGTACTTCCTACAGAGCAGTACAGCAAGGGAATAGAGGTAAAAATTCCATTAAGGAATGTAAGAGTACTGATTTCCCATTAAGGAATCTGCAAGATATAAAAGTGATGTCAGCCCATTCCACAATCACAGAAATAACGAAGCATTTAAAGTAATATCTTGCTTCAAATAATAGCCATTCCTAGTTTCTTTGCAGGAAGATGCAGAAAAAAATAATCAGGACGGTTCACTCTAAAAAGCTGACTGCAAGAAAAATGTTTTTGCTAACTCCTGTCTACTTGCACTTTCCTTCAGGTCAAAAAACAAGGGTTTGTATTACTTACAAACAAAGCAGTTTTATGTCTCTTAGAAGAATTTCATCTAATCTTTATGACTGCTGTTCAGACTTTCTCTCATTTTGAGACCACAAGTTCCATTCGAAAAATGACACCAAATGTGCTCCAAGTATTTTGTTTTCTGTGGAGAAAACCATTTTCTGCAGTTTAACCTGTTCCCAAGCCATCAGGTACCCTCGCATCACCCCACTGTCCTCACTAGCAGCAACTACTCATAGCCATGCTAAATGATCGAAGCAACACCCACTGACAACCCTTCATCTGTTCTGAATGACATTCAGCAGTCCTACCATCCGTCGTGTCCCAACCAGTGTAACACCACACCATTCCTCACACCGACGGTAAGTTAGTTCTCTTAGTCTTTCTGAGGTACCTTGTCAAAAGTTTTTAAGAAAATCTGTAAACACGATATACATTATTTTTTCTTTAACCACACTTTGGCTGACAGCTAAAAATAAAAATAGTAGAAAGAAGAAGTCACATCTACCCTCCTGAGACTCTGTGCTGGTTTGCAGACGAAAATAAGCGAATGCAAAGTCTAGAGGCTAGCTCCAACCACGAACAGCTAATTGTCACCATTACAAAATAAAACGTCAAGGGAGGCCAACTGAATGAAACAATTCCCAGATTTTGTTTTTCAACTGTCTCAACTGCTTCTTTGAAAGTTTCCTCCCTTTCACTGTTATTTTTCACGCTTTGGATTTCCCCTGCAGGCATGTATGATAAGAGGCAACTCCTAAAGTAAAGGAGGAGAGGTGTGGTCTTTCATCTGACTCCCAGTACATCTGTGATCTTCCCTTTCCTTAGTCAATTAACTGTGAGCTCCAAAAAACAGACTGGTGTTGGCAATTTCCTAACACTTCTTGCTGAGATTTCACCTTAAAAGTCTACCACAAACCTATAGACAAGCAATTTAGCAAATTCATTCTAGGCCCAGGTGATCTTTATGGTGCCCTGATAAACTTTTCTCATCTCTACTTAGGTTTGCTGCTTTTTCTTACAGGAGTCAGAAGTGAAAGACTGAAATGTACTGAACATTAATAACTATTTTCAGGGTACAGCAGTCAGGCTACGTCTGACTATGTCTACTTATAAATCAGTTGATTTTGTTCTAGCTTATAACAGCAGTAAAGGAAATAAATCCATTACTAATACAGACATGGCTGTAAATAAAAACTTATGTTTTATAGCGGAATATAAATAGCAGGACAGAAACACCTGAAACAACAAACAAGTCTGACTTTTATTATTATTAATGAATGTTTTGCCTTACGTAGATGTTTTCAAGCCTGATGGATTTCAAAGCATTTCACAGTACAAGTGTATGAAATAATCAAACAATTGTAGAATAGGGGAGAGCAGATACCATAATGCGCACCTCTCAAAGATTTCTTTTGAGTAAAAACAACAGGACCTTTAGCCCTTGTGAAAAAAAAGTCTTTGAAATATTTGCAATAAAAACTATCTCTTGGTTCATATTTGTATGTGCTTCATGTCTCCCTGACAGGAAGGAAGTAACACCGGCTAAGAACAGACTGTGAGACAGGAGAGGTGATGAGAACATCAGCAAGAATGATGCCAGAACTGTCTAAACGTGAAGAAAAGCGAGTGAAAGGTTAGAAATCCGTGCTGAAGTTGAGACTCCCCATGAATTTTATGTTGGCATATTTACTGGGCCTACGCACAGAGTCAGAGGTGGGACAGGCAACCATGACATCATTCCCAAATGAGCCATGCCTCCAGGCCAAAAGGAATTAAAGAAGACATACAAGAAGCAGCACTGCCCACGGAGATTTCAGGGACATGCACACTGCATTCCCCACCCACTAGCCAAGTGGAAAACTTGTTGGAAGCATTCAAACTGCCCAACTGTTTTCCCTTTCAGTAAGCTTATTCAACAACAGCAACAACAATAAAGGCTAAAGCATCCATTACAATTTTTCAATCTGACACACCCAACACTATTCTTTTCATTAACATATTTTGACTTGCAAAGCAAAAATGGCTTTGAAAAAAGAAAAGGGTAACGCACATAGTGAATGGATGTGGAAACCTAACACAACCAGTAATTTATCTTGGATCACAAAACAGCTGGCACTCTTCCCACAACTGAAGTTCCAACATTCTACGGCTACACGGTGGAATAAATGCCAGCATCAGTGAAAACTAATGACCGTAGCTACTACTTACCATGTACAAATCCTCATTGATGCCTAGATACTTCCCATTACCACAACCAACATCAGCCACTATCGATCCTTTTGGTAGGGACCTGAGAAACTCTACAACTCGAGGCCATGGTCTGTGTCTGGTACTGCTAAAGTGTGTGGCAATCTCTTCATAGACCTTGTGTACATATTCTTGCTCCAGCTCTGAGGCGTCCCTCTCGTTGTGGGGAAATGAAGGTTGCACCTCTCTTTGCTGTCCTTTCTGGCTGTCACAGACGGATGGGTAAACTGGATATAACAATAGATACACAAAATTATTTTTTTAAGTAATTCCTTGTTGGTTAAACTTACTTACAAAAATAAAATTAAAAATACAAATATAAAATGCAAAAAAGGCTTCATTCCTCCTTTACCTTTTAAAAATGGAAATGCAGATCAAATGCAAAAGCGTTTGACGACCGTAAAACAAGCAACCTGCCCATGTGTACCAGAGGCCACCTGGAGTGACCATTCATCCTGCCACGTTAAGAAGGTTTATGTTTTCAAAACTGAGACAGTGCCCCTAATATCAAAGATTATGACATCATTGCAATTCAGCCTTTGAAATTCTGTTCTAAGGCACAAAAGGACTTCAATTCCATGTACTCATGGAGCCACCTATCTATTATTATCTGTACCGCCCTGAGGCACATACACGGTTCTGTCACTGCAGAGCTGACTGCAGCTCTTTCTCTAATGCACTTAGGAAATTACAGTCCACTTCAAACCAAAACTGACTTGAACCTGAAAATAGTAGCTACTTCTGTTCTGTTGCATTATTCTGACACTTGAGGTTCCAATAAAATGCATGACTCCAGATTACTTGCCTGGCTCTGGAGCAAGCCAGATGCCTTCCTGTATAGAGAAACTCCAGCAATCGCATGGAAATGAGGGTTTGGGATGAGAAATGAGGGTCTGGTTGTGAGAAGGAGCTCTGGGCACGGGAAAGGCAGGCTGGGTGCTACAAATGATGCTTGGAGCCCTGAGAGTGAGGGGAAGCTCTTGGTTTTGCCCTGAGCTGTCTTTGTGCCCAGAAATTCCTGGCAGCAGAGACCTCTCCTGTCCTGCGTGACTGCCTGTCCTGCCTGAGCTCAGCAGAACCAGCTCTGGGCAGGGGTTTGACTTTTCAGCTCAATCTATTTCCTGTATCCAGTTTGGGGCTCTCCAGTTCAAGAGAGACAGGGACCCACTGGAGAGAGTCCAATGGAAAGCTACGAGGACGATTATGGGACTTGATCATCTCTCCTGTGAAGACAGACTGAGAGAACTGGGTCTGTTTAGCCTTGAAAAGAGAAAGCTGAGAGGGGATCTTACTAACGCATACAAATATCTCAGGGGTGAGTGTCAAGAGGAAGGTGCCAGTCTCTTTTTGATCATGCCCAGTAATAGGACAGGGAATAAAGGGGCTAAGTTAGAACACAGGAACTTCCACCTCAACGTGAGGAGAAACATCTTTACTGTGAGGGTGACAGAGCACTGGCACAGGCTGCCCAGAGAGGTTGTGGAGTCTCCTTCTCTGGAGACATTCAAAACCCTCCTGGATGTGTTCCTGTGTGGCTGCCCTAGGGGATCCTGCTCTGGCAGGGGGGTTGGACTAGATGATCTCTAAAGGTCCCTTCCAACCTCTAACATTCTATGATTCTGTGATACAACCAATTCAAGCCAGTGTCCCTAACCCTGAGGAATGGCTACCAGGACTGCCAACACTATCCAAAGGGATAAACTGTTCTGCTCAAAAAAAAAGAAATGTTTGCATGTTGGTGATGCATAACAACTTTGACTTGAATATCACCTCAAGACACTTACTGCAATTGCAAGGGCTTCTCCTCACTTTCCTGAATGTAAATGATGTCCTTGTTTCCCTTCGATTTAGTGTTAAATCTCCAGCATCGGCAGTGATTGTTCCAATTTTTTGCCCAAGCTCAGATGCTTGAATGACATCGTATTTTCGAGGTGTAATCCTAAAATAAAGTAACACAAAATAAAAGAATAATTCAATTTGCATCAGAAAAAACCAAATCCAACATTGTAAGAAGGCAATTCTTACATTTTGTGACAACTGTGATTACAGCATGCTGTTTAATGTACTGCTGCTCAGTTTTCAAATTAATCAATTTCAGAGAAAAAAAGAGGAGCTGACACAAACTAATGACATTAATTAAAGTGTTATTTAATTGCAAGTAATTATATTTCCCTTCCCTCCATTCCTTTCCTTATATATTTTTTATTGCTTATTTTTCTAGGACTTATATTTTTTAATATATTTATTTTATAT